ATAGGGTGCTGGCAGATTACGGGCCTCCCATAGCTGCTGCCAGGCCCCTAATCTGCCATGGGCCCCTATATACCGCCTCCTCATGCTGCTGCCAAGTCCAGAGTCTCTCATGGGTCCCTGTACGGCCTCCCATTGCTGCTGTCATCCATCGCCACACTCTGCCATGTGCCACTTTCAGGTCTCTTCACACTGCTGGTGTGTTGAATTTTTTGACATAGGGTGCTGGCAGATTACGGCCTCCCATAGCTGCTGCCAGGCCCCTAATCTGCCATGGGCCCCTATATACCGCCTCCTCATGCTGCTGCCAAGTCCAAGTCTCTCATGGGTCCCTGTACGGCCTCCCATTGCTGCTGTCTCCATCGCCACACTCTGCCATGTGCCACATTCAGGTCTCTTCACACTGCTTGTGTTTTCAATTTTTTGACATAGGGTGCTGGCAGATTACGGGCCTCCCATAGCTGCTGCCAGGCCCCTAATCTGCCATGGGCCCCTATATACCGCCTCCTCATGCTGCTGCCAAGTCCAGAGTCTCTCATGGGTCCCTGTACGGCCTCCCATTGCTGCTGTCTCCATCGCCACACTCTGCCATGTGCCACTTTCAGGTCTCCTCACACACTGCTGTGTGTTTTGAATTTTTTGACATAGGGTGCTGGCAGATTACGGGCCTCCCATAGCTGCTGCCAGGCCCCTAATCTGCCATGGGCCCCTATATACCGCCTCCTCATGCTGCTGCCAAGTCCAGAGTCTCTCATGGGTCCCTGTACGGCCTCCCATTGCTGCTGTCTCCATCGCCACACTCTGCCATGTGCCACTTTCAGGTCTCTTCACACTGCTGTTGTGTTGAATTTTTTGACATAGGGTGCTGGCAGATTACGGGCCTCCCATAGCTGCTGCCAGGCCCCTAATCTGCCATGGGCCCCTATATACCGCCTCCTCATGCTGCTGCCAAGTCCAGAGTCTCTCATGGGTCCCTGTACGGCCTCCCATTGCTGCTGTCTCCATCGCCACACTCTGCCATGTGCCACTTTCAGGTCTCCTCACACACTGCTGTTGTGTTGAATTTTTTGACATAGGGTGCTGGCAGATTACGGGCCTCCCATAGCTGCTGCCAGGCCCCTAATCTGCCATGGGCCCCTATATACCGCCTCCTCATGCTGCTGCCAAGTCCAGAGTCTCTCATGGGTCCCTGTACGGCCTCCCATTGCTGCTGTCTCCATCGCCACACTCTGCCATGTGCCACTTTCAGGTCTCCTCACACACTGCTGTTGTGTTTGAATTTTTTGACATAGGGTGCTGGCAGATTACGGGCCTCCCATAGCTGCTGCCAGGCCCCTAATCTGCCATGGGCCCCTATATACCGCCTCCTCATGCTGCTGCCAAGTCCAGAGTCTCTCATGGGTCCCTGTACGGCCTCCCATTGCTGCTGTTTCCATCGCCACACTCTGCCATGTGCCACATTCAGGTCTCTTCACACTGCTGGTGTGTTGAATTTTTTGACATAGGGTGCTGGCAGATTACGGGCCTCCCATAGCTGCTGCCAGGCCCCTAATCTGCCATGGGCCCCTATATACCGCCTCCTCATGCTGCTGCCAAGTCCAGAGTCTCTCATGGGTCCCTGTACGGCCTCCCATTGCTGCTGCCAGGAGGCAGCAGGGTCGCAGCAGTGTCAGTGGAGGCAAACGGCCACGGAGTAGAGCACCAGCTCCACTGCAGCCTACCACCACGGCCAGTAGTGGTGCCGGTGTGCACGGAGGAAGTAGCAGTCAGCCAGTGAGGAGTAGCGGAGGCAAAGTTTCCTACTCTGCGGGTGTGGCAATTTTTTCGTCAAGCCGCCCGAGGAAGTAAACGTAGCCGTATGTCGACTATGTGGCCAGAAAGTCAAGCGTGGCCAGGGGGCCCATGTTGGGACTACAGCGTTGCGTCAGCATATGCAGCGTCGCCATTTCGGTGGCCTGGGAAAACCGTGATATAGATACGGCGGTTCTGCCTGCCCCAGCCCAGGGTTCCATTTTGTCATAGGGTGCTGGCAGATTACAGGCCTCCCATAGGTGCTGCCAGGCCCCAAATCTGCCATGGGCCCCCCGTACCGCCTGGTCACGCTGCTGCTGGGCCCACAGTGTGACCTGGGTCCCTGTACCGCCTCCCATTGCTCCCACTCTGCCATGTGCCACTTTCAGGTCTCCTCACACTCCTGCTGGTTTCCATTTTGTCATAGGTTGCTGTATGGCCTCCCATGCTGCTGCCTCCACCGCCACACTGTGGCTCCAAACACTGGTTTTGGCCCCGTGACTGGCCAAATGAGTGAAGTGTGCGGTGATTCTAAGATCGACGGCACTCATCTGCATGTCATACTGACTGACAGTATTATTTCTCTTCCCCAGCAGACTCCAAGGGCATTTAAATTAAAGGTACAGTGCTCTGCACTAATATTAAGTCTCTCTGAAGCCTAGAAAACACCCTTTTTTAAGTTAAATTCACAGCGAATTTATTCGACTCGAATCGAATATTGTCCACGAATTCGCCGAATCAGTCGAATCGAATTTTTCATTTCTTCGCTCATCTCTAGATGACACATACACATCATTCATCTACTCTTGGTCCAGCCCCCGGGTCCAATATATGAACCCATTGCGGCCCTCAAGTCAAAAAGTTTGCCCACCCCTGACCTAGGGTAAAAGAACATTTACTGCACACTCAGACTCAGCCTTATTAACTGCCAGGATGGCAGTGTATCTGGATCTCCTGTTGTTACAAGTTGCCCGAGCACAGCTATCTGCAGTTACTGCTTGTTAAATCACCAGACTCCAGCCAGACATACACACTGCTTATCCATTGATTGGGGATAGAGATACACTATCAGCCAAGCAATGATAAGACCAGGGGCGGACTGACAACTCATGGGGCCCCCAGGCAATAGGGGATCATGGGGCCCCTGTGTCCTTGCCCAAACTCAAAAAAGCCTATGAAAAAGGTACCAGGGGCATCTCATGGAGCCCCCTACTGACCCCGGACCCTCGGGCAGTGCCCGAGTTTCCAAATGGTCAGTCCGCCCCTGGATAAGACTTAGCCTGAGTGTGAAGTGAAAGCACTGTTATCAGGTGAGGAGATTAAAAATCCCATTTCAGTCTTTGCAGATGACACCAAGCTGTGCAGTGGAATAACGTTTACAGCTGACCACAATGCACTGTTTAATTGGGCAACTATGTGGAAAATTATTATTATTATACAGTATTTATAAAGCGCCAGCAGTTCGCTCTGCGCTGTACATTGTAAAGGGAGACAGAACATGCGAAAGTACAATAACAATACAATACAATGCGATACACGAGGGATTCGAGGGCCCTGCTCTTTCGTGCTTACAATCTAGGAGGGAGGGGAGAGTGGTACAGGAGGAGATATCTGTGGGGGATGGAGTGGTAGGAAGAGTGGAGGAGGTCGGAAATTAGCAGGGGGTGGGGTAGGCTTCTCTGAAGAGGTGTGTTTTCAGGGTGCGCCTGAAGGAGAGGAGAGTAGGTGATAGTCTGATGGGTTGGGGCAGGGAGTTCCAGAGGATGGGTGACACCCTGGAGAAATCCTGGAGGCAGGCATGGGAGGAGGAGACCAGGGAACTAGAGAGGAGGTCTTGTGAGGAGCGAAGAGTGCGTGTAGGGTGGTACTTGGATATTAGATCGGTGATGTCGTTTGGGGCAGTATGGTGGACAGCTTTGTATGCCAATGTTAGGATTTTGAATTTGATCCATTGTGCAATCGGAAGCCAGTGGAGGGATTGGCAGAGGGGGGTGGCGGAAACGGAGTGGTTGGTAAGGTGAATGAGTCTGGCTGCTGTATTCAGGATCGACTGAAACGGGGATAGCCAGCGGCGAGGCAGGCCAGTGAGGAGGGAGTTGCAGTAATCGAGTCGTGATATGATGAGGGAGTGGATGAGCTGTTTAGTGGTTTCTGGGGTTAGGAACGTGCGGATTTTGGCGATGTTGTGGAGGTGGAGTCTGCATGAGTTTGTTAATGATTGGACTTGGGGCTGGAAGGATAGGTTGGAGACCAGAATGACACCAAGTACTCTGGCCTGTGGGGCGGGCCTGATAGTGGCATTGTTGGACGTGATGGAGAAGTCAATGGGGGGTTGTGTGCGGGCTGGGGGGAAGACTAGGAGCTCGGTTTTGGAGAGGTTCAGTTTAAGGAAGTGGAGCGACATCCAGTCTGATATGTCGTTTAATGAGGTTTAATGTTGATAAATGTAAGGTTATGCACTTGGGAGCTAAGAATATGCAAGCATCATACATACTAGAGGGGTACAACTGGGGGAATCAATGGTGGAGAAGGATCTGGGGGTATAGACTCCAGAGAGAGATATCATATTACCCCTATACAAATCATTAGTAACACCTCATCTAGAATATGCAGTTCAGTTTTGGGCACCAATTCACAAAAAGAACATTGGGGAACTGAGGAAAATACAGAGAAGGGCAACCAAACTGATAAGAGGCATGGAGGAGATCAGCTATGAGGAAGGATTAGAGGAACTAAATGTATTCTCTCTTGGGAAGAGGAGGTTAAGGGGGGGATATGATCAACATGTATAAATACATCAGTGGTTCATATAGTGAACTCGGTGTAGAGCTATTCACCCTCAGGTCAACATAGAGGACAAGGGGGCACTCTTTACTTCTGGAGGAAAAGAAATTTAATCTCCAAACACGGAAAGGTTTCTTCACAGTGAGAGCTGTGAAAATGTGGAATAGATTCCCTCAAGAGTTGGTTCTGGCCAGCTCAGTGGATTGCTTCAAAAAAGGCCTGGATTATTTCTTAGAAACACAGAATATAACTGGATACTAACATTTATAGGTAAAGTTGATCCAGGAAATATCCGATTGCCTCTCGGGGGATCAGGAAGGAATTTTTTTCCCAGCAGGTGCAAAATGGATCATGCTTTGCTGGGGGTTTTTTTTTTTGCATTCCTTTGGATCAACTGTGGGTATAGGATTGTACCTTTTTTTTTTTCTATGGTTGAACTGGATGGACTTTTGATTTTTTTCAGCCAGACTAACTATGTGACTATGTGACTTTACTTCCCTTCATTTTGATTGGCTGTTCTTAGGGCTTGGTCACATTTGTGACAGTGACTGTCACTCCTCTGTAAAGTGATTCTTGCTTGGATTGCTTTTCAGAGACGTTTGACAGGTGGTGCAGAGGGGATATGTCACCTTCTCATTGCCTGATTTAACCCAGCCAATCGCCATACTACCAAGCTGCAATTGCTTGCAATAGTCAAACTGCATTAGTCATTCATCATAGAAAAAATACCTTGTTACATGTTCCACCTGTTTTTAGGGTGGAACATGTAAAATGTTCCCATAGCTGCAGCCTCTGATCGTATGGGGAGAAGTTTCCCTGTGCTATCTGTCAGATTTGAGAACAGTGCGGCCATGTGGAGCTCCGCCAATGCGGCCTCATCATTAATTCACAGGCTTCTGTGAATAAATGAACTGCAAGTCCCGACAGCTTTAGCGGCTGTGGACTTGTAGTTTTCAATGAACTACCACAGTTCTGTGGAGCGCCATGGTAGTTCATTGAAGCTTCCTGTCAGAATACTTTATCTGCTTACTCGTAGATCCCGTACAGCAAGCAAATATTCTGACAGGTCTGCAGGAGACCTGCATGGCATCAGCGATCTAATGATTGCTAGTGCAATGCTTTCCAGGATCCTTTGGACAAAAATAATAAATGCACATTTTTTTACCTGCAAAAAAATGTGCATTTATTATTTTTGTCCAAAAGATGAACTTCTACTTTAAAGTGGAAATGAACTCTTCTATCCTTTTCAGCCAAGGAAGCTGCCATCTTAGCCTCTGTTTGATCTGCAACTGCCATGGTGCTGCACATGAGATCTGTTGTTACACTAGCCATTTGACGGTTTGACAGTTTGGTTGAGAATAAAAGCAAATGTGAGTTAGCATTCCCAGCATACCTGGAATGTATCTGATTTTCGAAACCATTGACTTTAGGGTATCAAACTGTGGCCCTCCAGCTGTTGCAGAGCTACTAGTCCCATGAGGAATTGCAAGTCTGACAGGTACATGCAAGACTCCTAAAGACAGAGGCATGATGGGGCTCATATTTCCGCAGCAGATGGGGGGCCAGAGTTTGACACCATCAATGGCTTTATGATGCAAAATAAAAGTTGAAACGCCAATGTGTAGGAAACTCTGGGAAGACCTCTCACTTTTAAACTTCAGAAATGTTGGTCCCTCTAAGGGACCCTGGCAACAGGAGATTTGAAAATCAAAAATTAGTAAATTAAGATAATTAAATGTACTGTATCATAAAAATTCTGTAAGTGTTTTTCTGTGAAAATGTTCATACCTCCACACATGGTAAACTGCTCAGGATTCCTAAAACCAGTTCACAAGCCACTAGTCTCCCATGTGTGTGCGTGTGTGTGTGTGTGTGTATAGTGTCTTTTGTAGGTGTATCCTTTTTTGGGGAAACACATTTATACTAGAAATTCCTCATTGCTTAGGACCAGTAGGCTGGTGTCAGAATTAATGATGTATTATGTTATAGCTTACTAGTCCTTAAGTGGAGTGGCTGCATATTTCTCTTTATTTGTGCGTCTAATCACTGGGCGGCTATGCTGACTTCCCTACTGTATCTGTGAAGGGATCCAATGACTTGGCTCTCCTCTATTCCTCTCCATTTCATGGAGGGAGGTGGCATGTATTTTCTGTACTTACTGAAATTGTTAACCTAAAAAAAAATTAATGCAGCCACAATATTCAAGAACTGGTTTACTGTCATATATTACAATTTTGTCCTTGCTTAGATATTCTTAAAGCATGGGTGCTCAGCCTGTAGCCCTCCAGCTGTTGCGGAACTACAAATCCCATGAGGCATTGCAAGGATGACAGTTACAATCATGACTCCCAAAGGCATGATAGGTTTGTAGTTCCGTGACAGCTGGAAGGCCACAGGTGGAGCACCCATGTCTTAAAAGGTTAGTTCAACTTTACCAATAAACTGCAAATGCAGGTAATGGGTGCCTGTAGATAAACAACATTGCACAGCATAGACCAAAGTTAAATAATGCCCTTGTTATAGGTGAAGGTCATTTACATATCTCATGAAGCCTAACTGAAAAACTGATGGCAATATCCTATCCTGTCTTGATGCTAGCTAATACCCCCTTTCAGCTGATTCAACCCCCCTCCCACACACTCCCTCTCCTTTGTTCCAGTAGCTCAAAAGTTTAGCAGTGCTGCAAAGGAGGAGACATGTGGGGTCTGAGAGTTCACTCCTTTATGGTGGGGCTGAGCAGTAATGGCTGGGAGTGTCTTAGCAATGTCATAGCAACAAGGAAGAATGGGATGCTGCCATTGTCACAATCATGCCCACAGGGGGAGGTGCGGTTCTCCATTTTACCCCAAAATTCTACATT